AAAAAAAAAAAAAAAAAAAAAAAAATTAACAAGGTAAATTAAATTACATCAACTCAGTTGGGGAGGGAAGGGTGTAATAAAGATCATCGAGTGGTCTTCCCCCCCTGCCGCGCGTCTTGCAACGCGTGTTGCAGCTTTAGGTACGTCCCGTCGTTGGAGGGAAGGCAGCTAAACAGTTGTATGTCCAATTGAAGTTGCTGCATGAGGTGGGCGACGTCGGAGCGAACAATAGTTTGGGTCGAGTCGGCACGGCCACCATGAAAAAAGGCTCCGCATATCTGCGCAAAGCGCTCAAGGAGGGGTGTGCACACATCTTCGAAGATAGGGTCAAGCAGCAACAAGTAGAATTCGCGAAAGTCCTTTGTCAACACGTAGTTAAATCGCTGATCTATCTGTGTGAGCTTCGTACGTGGGTTGTTAGATTTGGTGCAGGCGTCCTCGTCTGAGGAGAGACTCATCAGGTTGGTCAGCGTGAGTGCCTTACCTGCTCCATCGATTCGAAAAATGAGCGTTGCTTCCCCAGGGGGGTGAGCTACTGTCGTGGTGGCGTGCATCAGATCTGCCCTGTCCTTGGCGCCACTTCTCAGACGCTTGCGCAAGCCAAACAGGCGCAGCACCTGCGAGACGAAGCTCAAGTTAGGGTTGGACAGAGGGCGCCGTCTCTTCACCAAGTCAAACGCATCGCCAAAAGATAACTCCAGATGGGTCATGAGAAAAAATACAACTACGATGACGGACCTGGAAATACCCTTATTGCAGTGCACAAGAATTATATTTCCTTCATCACTGCTTAGCGTTATTTTTATAAAGTGAGTTGCATCTAGAAGAGTGTAAAGCATGTCTTCTTGCAAGTCGTCCTTAACGTAATATGTTTTGTATGAGAATGTGTCTTCAAATTTGTTCGGGCATTCTTCCCCTCCTACATTAACTATGTGGGTGATTTTTTTTTTTTTCAAATTTTCACAATCTGATGCGAATTCGTATCCACTTAATAATAAGCGGCCATCCAAGAGCTCCGTGCAGGTGGAGCTGCTGGCGGCGAGTATATCTTCGCCATCTGCGCCATCTCCATCCTCTCTGCCATCTTCTCCATCGTGCTTTTTTTTTTGTTCCTCCCTCTTGCGTCTAAACGACCTCAAGTTCAACTTGTCCACTTTGATCCCTCGAATGGAGAGTTGAATGGTCCGTTTTGAGGTCGAGACGGCAGCAGACGGTCCTCCCTCGTCTTGCTTATCTTCCTCCGAATGGGTGGTGTCATCTTTGGTGTGGGGGGAGAGGCTCCTTCTTTTTCTCTCCTCTTCCTCCTCTTCATCTTCGTTATTACCGCCACGGCGCGCGGCATTCACGCGGTTTATACCACTCACGCCGCGAAAGCCGCTCACCCCCTCGTCCCCTACCATCTAGTTGTCCGCCCAGTCGGAGCATCCCTTTTTGCATAAACAAAGGTCGCAGCAGTTAGAGACAATTCCACATGCAGGATGAGAGGCATGAGAGACGGTACCTCAGGGGGGTGGCAGTCCATCCCAGTGTTACTTCCTCCTCGGAGACGAACTAACCTTAATGGATGAGCAAATTTTTGTGCCTCCGTAATTTTCCCGCAGGGGAAAAAGCATATGTGTGAAATCGCAGCTGATAGCTCAGCCGAACTTACGTGACATGTACACACCTTTATACACACTCCCGGGAGGAACAAGTTGGACCACAAGCCCCTTTTTTAGTTTCCCCCCTTTTCCGTTGAAAGGTATGTGTCCGTCTGCTCGCCTTCTCCCCCTTTTAATTCTTCCTTCGTTGTGAATTTTCTCCCCTCCCCAAACAGCAATCTCTTGTTGGTGGCCTATCTTAACAATATTTACTTGTCTCCCTGGGTCAAAATATTATGGCATTCCTTTTTTTTTTTTTTTTTTTTTTTTTTTTTTTTTGCCGAGAGAAGAATAAATCTTCCCAGCTGTGTATGTATGTGTATGTGTGTGTGAGAGCGTGAGTGGGGAAAAAAGTGGAAAGAAGAAGTGCCCTCGTCGTGACGTTTGGTGGGCGACGTTCAATCTGCAACGCTCAACCTGCACTATCCCGGGGGAAGAGTTATCACACGCCGATCTGCGTCCCCTCGCAGAGGATGCGACGCAGATCGGCGTGTCATCCCGTGATGATCATATCACTATTGGGGTAAGTCATGACATTTCCACCAACTCCGCATTGGATCATTCAATCGTTCGATCAATCAGTTTTTTCCTTTTTTTTTAAAACGAGGCAATTTCGCATGAGAGGTGAGGTCCCCGCCGCGATACTTCAAGTAACCCCTCTTTAAACAATGACACAGATTTGTTACTTACAAAAACAAAACGCCACGACGGGTTAAGAGTTGTGACAAATGGATGCACTCACTGAGAGGTGGAGGAAGACAAACAACACAAATGTAGCACAGGGTGTGTGTGCCTTCACTAATTCTCTTGCCGAGGGTCAAACCACTTTTGTGGCAAAAATGGGACACGCACAAGTGAGGGAAGGAAAAAACCTACTCTCGTGTGGGGAAGAGAAGCGTGACGTTGGGAAGGACATTTACCGATGGCCGGATCCCCCCCACACAAGGGGACAGGGACAAAAGGAAAGAAAATGAAAGTAATGCTATTATAAACGCATGTGTACTGTGTCCCATTTGAGCGCCTTTTCCTCCACAAGAAGTCGCAAAAACGGTCACAAAAAAAACGTAACACAAAAAAGCGTCACAAACGAACGTCACAAAAAAAACGTCACACATATTTAAAATAAAAAACAGTCGCTTTTGCCTGACCAAGCAATCTTTTTTTCCTATCGAGGGGAGTTAAAAAAATGGTGAAATGGGTCCACTCATCTTCTCCCATTTTAATGTGGGCCGTGTAGGTGACGTTGATTCCTTGGCTTCTTACGTTGACCTCTCTGAGGACTTTATTTTTTAAAATTAGTTTTACGTTACAAAAGTGGAATTCTCGCACAGAGGCAGCCTAAAGGGGGAGGGGACAGAGAGAGAAAGGGGAAGGGAGGACGTGAAACATTATATATGCATAGGGTGATGCACGAGACCACAAAAAAAGGGGTCCTTTCTTTTCCCCTATATATATATATATATATATATATATCGCCTCTCTTTATATATGTTACCTTGAGGGAGACCAGCTGACCCACGCACTTGAGGGACTCCACTTCACAGGGTGCTCTTCCTTTGATCTGCGAAAAGAGGCGGTAGGTAGAGAGAAAATTCGAAATGAAGCTTACGATACAAAGGGGAAGAGTGGGGTCGGACAGATTGAGGGGAAACCACCGCGTCTGCTATACTCACCGATCTGTACACGTAAGTCGAACTGGTAACATAGGGGACTGCCACCGATGAAAAAACACGAGGAGGGGTTGGCAAATCCATACGGTAAACAACTTCCAAATACACCTTCATGAAGGACAAAATTTTTTTTTTATTCACCATGCCGTCTTTAAAGAACTGACCATAAAGCTCCTTTAATTTCTGAACATGTTCATAAAAAAAAAATTTGGAAGCTGCCACTTTCCATAGGGTCATTACGTAGTCGAAGACGTCTGGAAAATTCTTCCCCTGTGTATTTGTCACCTCTTTTGTGAAAATTTTGTTTCGCATTCTTTTTATCTTCCTCTTGTTTAAGTAAAAGTGCACCAGGTCGTGTAGTGTGCAGCTGCCTATGTTAAACACGGCTTGGTGTCCTCCCCCTCTGCGTTCTCCTCCCGTTTCAACGCTCCCTTCACCGCTCACTTCACTACTACTTCCGTCGCTGTCTGCATCGCTATCATCCACGGGGGGTGCTTTCAGCACGCAGGACGGACTGAGGAACAAAAAGGGGATCACCTTGTGCCGCAAGAAGTAGCACAGAACGAACGTGGACTTGAGGAAAACGACATAAAGAAATAGGACCCTTTTGGACAACCCCGCGAACAAATGCCTGATGCCAGCAAGGGTTAGGATCCCCAGTGTAGTTTCCACCAGCGAAGTGATAATCCTTTCTACATTGCACACAAAATAAGTGAGCGTGAAATTTATTTCATCCCGAATGTCACTCACAAGAGTTAGCAAATCTTCTACAGCTAGGTAAATGTTCATTTGTATCTTCACAAAAAAGCCATAAAGAAAAAAATTTTGGTGGAAAATACGTACCTCCTTCAGGCACTTTTCAGAGATAAGTAAATATTTTGTTGGACTTAAAAAAGTTTTCCAATCCCCATACGACTTCTTCCTCTTTCGACAAAAAAAGTTACAATAATTTAATAAAGCTTTGAACCACAACTTTACATCTCCAATGTTTGCCAGGACAAACAATTTTCCCAAGATAGCATATCCATGTTTGTAAAATCCTGCACACATGCAATATTTACCTGCCCTGTACAGGTAAAAAAAGGAACTTTGATTTTTTTTTAAATTGGCTACTTGGATATTTTCTTCCGATTGTACTCTTTCTTGGTGTTGTAACTTTCTGTACATGTTTTGCACTTTCCTTTGAAGGGACTTGTTCGACATGGACGAAACGGAGCTGCAATCGGACGGGTGGTCCCGTTCCGCCGAGCTGGGTTGGCCGTCTGATGAGGCGTGTGTGGATGGGGGGGTGTCACTACTACAGTTGCTATCGTTACTACAGCTGCTATAGCTGCTACCCATGTCACCGCTATAACCACCGCTGCCACTGTTGTCCCTCCGGGGCAGCGTCTTTTGAGCAATTGATGACTCGCCCGAATTACTTCCCTCTGGAAGACGTTGACCCGCTTCCGCCTGGCCACGCGTGTCACCCCAAACCACACGTTTCCCTCCATTTTGGTTTCCATCACCTACTAAATTTACCTGACCTGTACATAATTTTTTTTTTTTTTTTTTTTGGTGAGTTCCCCTGACGGCATGCCAAAATGGTGTGGCTTTCTCCTTAAACGAAAATATATGATTTAATATGGTGAGAAAAACGTAAACCTTCTTTCGCAGGGCCGTCGATACTTCTTCGCCCTTCCCGTAACTGACGAGGGCTAAATGAAAGAGGTGTCTGATGTTGTGATAGCTAGCTGGGTGGTCATCCTCACGCTGGCAAATGTTAAAGGTTTGAAAAAATTTACTTCGCTTGAGAAAATAAACACAACTGCGACCATTATCATGGCTAACGAGTGTGTCGAGGGAAGTCTTTTTTTTTGTTTTTTTCACCTCTTCTGTTAAGTGGTTGGACGACATACCATATTTGTCGTTTGCTTTGCCATGGGCAGAATAATCCTCTTCTGTCTCCTGACCATCTATCAGCAAATAAAAAAAGGGGTCCCTCAAAATGTGCACAATTTTTTCCGCACGGAGTGTAAAGAGGAGGTGGAAGACTGGAACAAATTCGTTGCTGCAAAATGACTGGAAAAGGCAGTTCAGGAGGTGTCCATTTGTGCAGTTCCCTAAGTTGGCGGCTACACTGAGCAAGCACGTCTGCATGGCACTTTTGAAGGCATCGCTTTGCTGATAGGGAGCACAGTTGTTGCTGCCCCAAGCTCGATCGTTCAATCTGTACTGCAACAGATCGCTTAAGAAGAGGTCAAAATTTGTTTCCTCGTGAGCTTCCAAGTCGGAAGATGTAATGGTCTCCCGTATCTCCCTGACCTTGTATAACCCATCAGCACGGTTGAGGTGAGTTCCACTATGCGTGTATTTACTTCCCCTCCTGTTGGTAAAATTGGACATGTCCCCCATGTGGGTACCTCTACCCATGCCATATAAACTCTTGCTCGTGCGACATGTCTCGCCGATGGCTGTACGGTTCTCCACCCCCTCCAGGGGGGTATTATCCACATTGGAGTCCTCCTTATTGTACACAAAAAATTGAAAAAAAAAATTAAACAGATTAACAAAGTCCCGCACGTCTTCATCGCATAGAATATACTGGCCAAGAATAGTAAGCGTTTTTAAAATGCACAGTTTGGTCGACACATGGTCAGCGCTATGTCTGCACAGGAAGAACAACAACCTTATAAACATCACTCTGTATAGGATTGAATCATCTGGAATATCTTCTCCCGATGGCAATCCCTCACCGTCGTGGTGAAGTTGGCCAAAATCATGTGTCTTGTTAACTCCCCTGCGGTCCCAATGTCGGTTATTATATGTACTATATATGCTATTTTTATTTTTTTTTTTTAAAAATGCTTTCTTAAACTGGGCAAAAAAGGATTCCCCCAAATTGAAGTACTTTAATTTATCCTTTTGCACAAAACTGTGGAGTCTTATTTTATTTTTCTGTAGCCAGTTGTAGCAGTAGAGGAAGACATTTTCTTTTCCAAGCTTCCCTCGTTTATCTGTTCTAGCTTGTGTGTACAATGAATTCTTTATGGTGTTCTGCTTGGATGGACTGTTTGGGTCGTTACTTATTTCGCTAATGGCATCGCTCAGTGAGCTTTTTCCTGGGTCCTCCTCCGCTTTATCATCAGTGTAGGGGGTGGGTTGTTTACTGTTGAGTACCGTTCCGTCCTCCCTCTTTGGTGGGGCGTTACTTTCTCTTCTAGGATGGGGCCTTTTCACTGGTTCTCCCTGCGCTTGGTCAGCCCGTTCCTTGGGTGGGTGGATCCCTCGTTCTGCCTGTGGATCCTCCTTCAGCTTCTCCTGCTGCTCATGTTGCTCCTGCTGATGTTGTTCCCCCCTACACGCAATCCTTCCCCTTATCTTCAGCGTTATGTCCAGCTTCTTCACATTAATGTCGCTGGCTTGCTCGTTCTCCTTCGCCACGTGGACGAACTTCTGAAAAAAGAGGTCCACCCTTTTCTGTTCATCGCGCCCCGCCCGCTTTTCCATGTGGGACATGCTTCCCGGTGCAAAGTGTTCATCGGTGGAGTCGCCACCGCCGCTATCTTCACTTCTGGCACTATCGCTCAACGTTATGGTGAAGCAGAATTGCCCCATGTGTTCTCCACCGGCGCTGTTATTTTCGTAACTTGATCTTTTTTTTTCATCGCATTGGTCAGAATTTTCCTTACGGGGAGGACTGGGTAGATGGTCTGCTGCGGTTCCTATGGGCAGGTGTTCCTTTTCCCCCATTTCATAATCGTGTGTAAACTTGTAATGTTTTTTGGGGGAGCTGTCCGCGTGAAACATCTCACTGGGGAGACTATCCCTCATGGTGCACACAAAGTTCTGAATAAACGGCTCGCTGTGCGCTCGACTTAAAATGGGTAAGAAGTTCATTTTGCAGCGGTTGGCATGGCTATCCGTTGCGCTCACTTCACCTGCCTTTTCTTCTTTGCAGTGATTATCAGGGAGTGGAGAAATGGGTTCCCCTTTTTTACCTGAACGGGTTAGGTAATTATCCCCATTTCTGCCTGAACGGGTCAGGTAATTTCCCCTATTGGCTGCCTTAAAAAACTGATACACAATTTTCACAAACATGAAGAGGGCAGAGCTGTCGTCACGAGAGAGCGACAGACGATTTAGCCAGCTTACCAATTCGTGCTCCCTGACAGTGGACACGAAGGAGAAATAATTAAAGTGGAAGTTGTTGACCCGTTGGTCGAATGCATTTCTTCTCTCCGATGTGTCATCCACAAATGGGAAGACATAAATGCTTTTTTTTTTGATCAAAAATAACAAACTTTTGAGAGCGAAATATGTTATCTGTCTGCGCTTCATCAACCTCGTTTGGGGTACCATCAACAAAAATTTAATCGAGATAATTTGAAGGTTTTTAAGAAACTCATTTTGATGACTCAACACAGTTGTGCTGTGGAAGTATTCACGGAGAATAGTTATGGCTGTCTCTTCACTTGTACAGACATGTTCCTCTTCGTTCAGCATATTATTAATCATTTTCCAAAATTTTTTAAAAAGAAAATAACTTACGTAGGGCACCATGTTGTTCATTCTATTTGCAATTTTTGAAAGGTACATAAGTATGGTGAACGTGAAAGGGTTGTCCAGGATGGGTCCTTTGGAGGCTTTGTTCACTTCCGCATCGGCACATCCGTTTGGAGGGGATCCCTCAACATCCCTTTGTTGGTGGATCTTCTCCCCCAAATAGGTTTCCCAATTTTTTTCCTGGCTACTTCCCCCGCCCTGTGTCTGGGTTCCACTGGCTGGTCGGTCTCCCTCCCCAGTGATAGGCACACAAATGGTGTTCTTCCCCGCTGTGGGTATTTCCCTTTTGCCACGTGACCGCCCCATCGCGCTGTGGTAGAGGCCTCTCACCACGTGGTAGAGAACATCATGCGAGAGAAAAGGAGTCCACCGTGTGAGGACAAGTAGAGCCAAAGAGAATTCATCAAAATTAATTTTTTTAAAAATGATTTTCAAAACCATGTGGACAAGGTGATTACATCCACTCAAGTGTTGGCAAAAGAGGAGACAAAGTCTGAGTCCATAATTCCTTGTTAATTTATCTTCCGCATTAAGTAAGTTAATAACATTTAAAGTTACGAAGTCACTTATGAAAATGGCTTCATTTTTTCGAACTACATAAAAATGATCCCGATGCTTTCCCTTTTGAAAAGAATAAATGGAAAAAAACAGGTCCTCAATTTTTTGTGCATTTTTGGCTAGCTGGCAATAGACATAATTTTTTATTCCCGCATGGGGACTCAACTTTATCACATCTAGAAGGAGGACGATGCAGCTGTACGCAACTGTGCAACTATTGATATTGCTTTGTTCATTTTTTAGTAAAATGTCATTAATGTTTTGTACATCACAAGATGTTAGCATTTTTTTTTCTTCCACTTTATCAAAATATATCACATGAGATAGGAGGGAGATGTATTTGAAAAAGCTTGTTAATGTAGGGTTGGTATTTGTTAAAACGTTTTTCACTTCAAAATATGTGTTCACGTTATTTTGTTCTTCTAAGAAGAAATAATTTGAGTAACTTAAAAATTCATATCTGTCTTCTTCATCCATTGAGGGGGTACCCAATGCAGAAACATCTGGGGGACTCTCTCCCAGTTGAGCATTCTGTTGCTCATCCCTGCTCACCCCAGTGATGGTAGAAGGGATTGCCACATCTCCCATGTCTAGGGGTGGAGAGGCTCCCCTAGAGTTGGAAGCACTCACCAGCGAGTCTTCTACCCCCTCCATTTCAAGCCCCCACAACATTTCAATTGCTTAACCATTTGAGAGTTTTTTGTCTTCCCCCCCCCCCTTTTTCTAACGTTTAACTTTTATCCTCTCGTTTGGGATTTTCCAATTTTGCAATTTTTGGATCCCCCCCGTGTGCGTCTCCCCCAATGGGCAAAGACCTTTCCCCCCACCCTTAACAGTGTAAGACTTGCAAAGGGGGCGAAACCCTTCCTCGTGACAAGAAGGAACTCACGCGAATGCAAGTCGCGTGCGCTGTGGGTGCTCATTTGACAGCTGCTCTGCGAGCTTCACAAAGGGAAAAGAAGGGGTCCCTTCTATTTCTCCCCGGCCGACGCTGCCTCTATGAAATGCCTTGCCCTGGCTCCCACACGAGGGATTCCTCTCCGCGTTGAGTCATGCAGACGATGCAGATGAAGCAGCAGAGAGGGAAACACCCCCGTGGAACTCCACTTGGACGTGCCCAGGAGGTCGCAAAAAAAAAAAAAAAAAAAAAAAAAAAAAAAAAAAATTCCTACTTGGTATACTATGCTCTCTCTCTCCCCCTCCCTACGTGGATACATATGGAAAATGTATAAAGAGCTTGCAAGTGCGGAGAGAAAATTATCCTATTGGAGATTCCTCACCGCGCCGCTGCGCTGCGCTGTAGCGCCTCTCTTTTCATCTGTGTATTATAAAAGTGCACATTGGGGAACCCGTGGGTCGTTCTCCGCTATGCTGTTAAGCGGCGGTTAAGCGGCGGTTAAGCGGCGATCACCGGAGCAGCGTTCACACCTGCGTGTGTCAAGCGTCCGCTGCTCAGCCCCCTGATATGCACTTGCCCCCAAGTCGGTCCCCGTTGCCATGCCCGGAAGCCGGCTCTTCTTCCCTTCCCGCCCTGCCCCACAGCGGAAATGCACAAGAGGGCCTACAGCGAATCGGGGGCCCTGTCGA